ATATATATATATTATATATATATATATATATATATATATATATATATATATATATATATATATATATATATATATATATATATATATATATATATATATATATATATATATATTTATATATATATATATTTATATATATATATATATATATATATATATATATATATATATATATATATATATATATATATATATATATATATATATATATATATATATATATATATATATATATATATATATATATATATATATATATATATATATATATATATATATATATATATATATATATATATATATATATATATATATATATATATATATATATATATATATATATATATATATATATATATATATATATATATATATATATATATATATATATATATATATATATATATATATATATATATATATATATATATATATATATATATATATATATATATATATATATATATATATATATATATATATATATATATATTTGACTGCTATGCCTTCATAAATAGTGAAAATAACTAATTGAAAAAGTCTTTAAGACCAAGCGGAATCCTTTATTGGCTGTTGCTTTGGTGTGACTTCAGCTAATCAGTTTTGGCAAATGCAAACAAATATTTTTCAACATCAAACTGTGCAAAAAAAACTCACGTATAGTGAAGTCATCTTTAGATACCATATTGTTTTAAATCGAGAAAACATTTTACAAGTAACTTTTATTCAAAATCCTGCACCTTATTTTTGTTCCTTAAAAATTGAAAAGTGACCAATAAAAAGCCATGAAGCACTAAAAGCACTCATGTTAAAAATGATTTGTATACTAATCTGGCTAATGTTATCTATGAATTTTCTAATTTACTTTTTTTACTATAGAGGCTGGAAAATGTATTTTATTATTATATTATTATTATTATTATTATTATTATTATTATTATTATTATTATTATGTTTTACTTTTATTTTATTATTTAAATTCTGACTGAGGAAAGTTAAATGTGCTGGTCAGTTTGTTATTTACCTAATAAATGGGCTACAGCTTTTTAATTAAAACTTTAACTGATTCCTGTGTTTTCTGATGATGCTGTATATGATGTAATACATGTGTGTTTTAAGAATGAGGATTTATTGATATTTCTTTATTCTAAATATTTTGGAAATAGTTTGGCACATCAAAAAGTCTGATGATTATGTTATGATGACCACCCAACAAGCTAATCCAGCTAAAAATAGTGCATATATTTCTAAAAGGAAGTATTTAAATCTCATAAGCAAATAAGAGGTGAATAACTGCAAAAAGGTCCACTTTTTGGAAAAGCAAAAAACGCCTTTCAACAGGCTGACTACGGGCTTGATATGGCTAGGCAGAGGGCTCGTATCTTTAAGTTTTTTTTTACTGTAGATGTCTTTGTATCCCTGATGAACTACTGCAATTAAGTTGTACAAAATAACTGTACGCACCCTTCACATTATTGTTTATGTAAAGGCCATTACAGTATGCTTTATTGTTTAATAATGAGTCTAAAACTTGCCCACTTGCTGCATCTTTAGTATCGGAACAAACAACTCAGTCACTCACCGGCTCCAAAACTGGTGCAGGTTTTGTCAGCAGGTCTTAAAGTCGCGATTAGAGCGGCTGCTATTTATCAGAGGCGAGAGGCTGTCATTGAGCTATTCTGTGAGGAACAGTTATGCTTATTGCAGGAGTTTTTATTTCTCGAGCTGCTTAAACATAATGGTGTTGCTGCAGTAGGGCTTTTACCAGAGTTGTGCTTTTAGAAAGTGCTCTGCATTCAACCGCCGTCTCACACACACACACACATACATACACGTTTTAATTCTTACATAAACACACTCGCGCAGGCACTGGAGTAAATGAGGATCTTGAAAACCGCAGCAGGAGAATAGCTTTGATGTGGTTCACTTTACTCAGAGAAGTTGAAAGAAATGCCCCTTCTATTTGAATGCAGATGTGTTTAACACCTCGCCGCATACGTAATGAGGCAGAAATGGACAGTAAAGGAGGTGTTAAAGACCTCGGAAAATGGTTTTCGGGATTGTGTTGACATTTTTTTTTAATCTTTGTAAGAGAACATTAGGAATATACACAGATTGAAGAGCCTATTCTTTTCAATTTTTAATAGCAGCAGTATTTAGTTTATATTAAAGTGCAGGAAAATCACATTTGGCACTGTAGATAGGGGAAAAGGCTTTCAAAAATAAATAAGATAAATTATAAACGTACCATTTTTAGATAAAGATAAATCAAATTGCGGATTTTGGATAAAGATAAATTGCAAAAATATTAAATTGAGGAGTTTATTCTTTGTGCTTTTTCTTTTTTAATATCAGCAGTATTTAGTTCATATTAAAGTGAAGGAAAATCACACTTGGCACTGAAGATGTATAAAAGACTTTCAAAAATAAATAAAATGTTGTTATATAAACTTTAACGTCCACAGTTCAAGTCATAAAGTGTTGACGGATTTACCTTGTATTTTAATATCTTTAATATTTTTCAGGACTAAATTAAAATTTGTTTATAAAGATAATGTTTTCAGAAAATTATATGAAATATTAAATTATGTTCAATAAAATGTATGTTTTCATAAAATCAGTGATTAATTGTATTTTGCCAAGGGAAGACTACACATTTGGAAGTCCTCTCTCCAGTTTCCATTACCATATTATGATAATAAGATATGAACAGTAATGTGTTATCAGAAATTTTTAAATAATCACAGTCTAGTTAGTAGTGTGTTTTGTGTTCATTTTCTTAAAATACTTGGTAACACTTTACAATGAGGGTGCATTAGTTAACATTAGTTAATGCATTAGTTAAAATGAACTAACAATGAATAACGCATTTATTAAGCATCACCTAACCTTTGTTAACGTTAGCTAAACATTTATTCATGTGTTAGCTAATGCATTAGTAAACATGATCTAACAGTAATTAAGGACTTTGTTCAGCATTACTTAATCTTTGTTAATGTTTATTTGCACATTATCTAATGCCTCTCTTTACAAGAACAGCTTAATTAGTTCATGTTTACTAACTCATACACTAACGCATTTGTTAATGGATTAGATCACTTGATCTTATAATGAACAACACATTTATAAAGCAATACTGAATCCTTGTTCATGAAAACTTACAATGTTAGTTAACGCGTTTGTTAACATGAACAACATGTTAGCATAATTGGTAAAGCTTTTAATAAGTGCATAGTTCCTGATCAATGTCAGGGACAAAGGAGGACTCTTTTGGAGTGTATTATATGAGAACCTCAGCTTTAACTGTTATTCATGTTTGCTAACACTTTACTAACATGATTTATCATTAACAAAGCATTTATTAATAGAATTATGATCCTTATTGTAAAGTGCACCCTTATTGTAAAGTGTTACCAAATACTTAAAATATATTTTATTAAAATATTGTTTAAAAAAAATGTGATACATACATATTGTATTAGTAACCAAAAAACAATCAAAGAACAGCCACCCCATCCCAACAGTACAAATATAAATATACATGCAAACATAAATAAATTAATTAATTAAATAACTAAAATAAGGTAACATAATAATAAAAAAGAACCCGTTAAGACTTTGACATACAAATGTTTTGTGTTATTTAAATAAAAATAAAAGTAGAAAAATATATAATGTTAAATAAATAAATAAATAAAATTATATATTATATTATATTTTATTATATTATATTTACCAAAGGGGGTAATTCTGACTTCAACTGTGTGTGTGTGTGTGTGTGTGTGTCTGTGTGTGTGTGTGTGTGTGTGTGTGTGTGTGTGTGTGTGTGTGTGTGTGTGTGTGTGTGTGTGTGTGTGTGTGTGTGTGTGTGTGTGTGTGTGTGTGTGTGTGTGTGTGTGTGTGTGTGTGTGTGTGTATGTATATATATATATATATATATATATATATATATATATATATATATATATATATATATATATATATATATATATATATATATATATATATATATATATATAGATATGTATATATATATATATATGAGTATATGCATATATTTATATATATATATATATATATATTTATATATATTTATATATATATATATATATATATATATATATATATATATATATATATATATATATATATATATATATATATATATATATATATATATATATATATATATATATATATATATATATATATATATATATATATATATATATATATATATATATATATATATATATATATATATATATATATATATATATATATATATATATATATTAGGGATGCAACAATACAGTTAGCCCAAGGTTCAATACAATACCTCGTTTTTTTTAACACTGTTTTCGGTTCGGTTCTCATGGCTTGGCACAAGTTTTTTTTTTTTTTTTTTTTTTTTTATATAGGCAATGGGAACAGTAAGAGGTTAAAGAGAAAAAATAAAAACTATTTATTGCAACACTCATTTTGTTTTACTTAAAAGCCAAGAAAAGTGCACTAGTTCCTAGTGTATTGTATAAATAAATGAACAGTGAAATCTCACAGCTGCTGGTAGGCCATGTACAAACTGGGGAACATAAAATCCTCCACTTTGAAAATAAACACACATGTGAAGTTAATAAAGATAA